ACTTTCAAAGTCATAATTTCGAGGTTCAAAGTCATAATTTCGAGGTTCAAAGTCATAATTATGATATACCGGAGCAGTTGCAGACAAGCCTCCTTAGAATAACAGCGTGCACTTCACTGCATTCAGTAACACAATAAAACCACCGGGATAAAGTTTGTTTTGGTCTGTGGCCTGCATAGATCGCTCCGAGCGACTGCACCTAAACGCCCCACAACGTCTGACGCAGTGACGTTGGTTCCAAAGCTCTATTGGCCAATAGCAGACATAGAATGCAGCTCTTCTCATATCGATGCAGCCTGTAGGCTACTGATGTTGTTGTCTTTGTTCAGAAGTGGGTAATACTTGTTACACTCGCTTGAGTAACTTTTTTGGAAAAAGTGTACTTACATGAGTAGTTTTACTGCACTATACCTTTTTCTTTTACTTGAGTAATATAATCTCACTCTTTAACTGGGTTGTGTAAGAAACTCATCAAGGAGGTAATATTATTCAAAAACAGCTGGAGAGAATTAGCCAGTTTTAAGGATAAAACTTTTATTACACCACACACAATCCAGTCACAAATTAACATTGAAAAGACAATATCAGACTTGAGTACAAATTCCTTTGCATCTTGTTTGTATAAGATGGAAACAACCTAATTTGTCTTTCCAAGATTCCCGTCATCAGTTTAAAGAAAAACATTAAACATCTTTATCACTTGATTAACACCCCCCATTTTAAAACAACATAAAAAAATGCAGAAAAAAGATGTTTTTAACAAAATATGTAAAACGCCCAACACAATTTTAAAATTTTGGCTTTATAAGCAATCTATGCGACGTTCAAATGTGACTTTATCACCCTAGGTAAGATATTTGACTCTTGGTTTCTTTCGTAGAGACTTTTTAATCCTTTTATCATTGTGAATTATTTATTAAATGTGTAAATTATGGTCCACAAAGAATAATGTATATCAATCACCATACTCAGTTTATAGCCTCAATATATTAATTTTTTTCTTAAATTCAATAAAAACAAGCTTTAAAAGTTCATAATAAAACAATGACAATAGTCATTTCCATTATAGTACCAGACTGAACTATAATCAGTGATTTAATGTTATTACCGTCACCATAAACAAAACACTCAAAATATTCTGTGAACTAGTCAAAAAATAAATCTGAATATTTGTGGTAGATGTTTATACAAAAATGAGACAAAATTGATTACTAAGAGATTTGAAACTTTAGCATACTAGACATGCAAAACAACCTGCCACCTAACTAGTTAATTTGACACCCCAAAAATAAGTAACAAACATACCAATAGCCCCAGGTGACCTTCACTAAAATGTAATAAAAGACAAAAAGTTCAGCACAAAGAGGAACTTTTTGTGTTCAAACACAAAAAGTTCATCTTTGTTTTTTCAGAAAACTAATAATCTTACTCTGAGCACATGTATCTTTGTTTAGGTTTGCATGAAGAGTCTGAGAAAGAGGATTTGCAAATATTTTGGTTCTATTTTTGTCTCCTGCAACTGTTTCTCTACTTCAACACACCTGAGTCAAATAATGAGGTCATTAGCATGACTCTGGAGATCTTGACTGTTCTTAGGAGGTGAATCAGCTGTTGCATTCAAGTGTGTTGGACCAGGGAGACATCTAAGAGTTGCAGGACCAGGATTGACCACCCGTAATAAAGGACATGAGTCAACTGAAAACTCTTTGAAACATTACATGCTGATTCACTGATAATCTCAACTAAGGACTGCAGATGATTGACAATATTTTCCAGCGATGCCTCCTCTGGTAACTCCAGAGACAAGGCACAAAGCTCTGTGACGTAAACCTGAACATGCTGCAGAGTGCTGAGGGATGGGGGATTGTTTCTACATTCATCATTTAGAAGATCGTTTAGGGCCAAGAGGATCTTCTGAAGCTGATCAGCTGTTAGCTCGGTGACACTGAGATCTGAAACCTCAATATTATATTTCAAAGTCAGAATTTCTAGAAATTCATCTTTGCCACTGTGAGAGTTGCTGTTGAACTGACCAATGTGCCTAATTAGAACATTATGCTTTGTCTCACATTATTCTGACAATTCATTTTGCTGTTTCTTATACTGCTTTTTAGCTTGTTGGTGGGATGTTTGGAGTTTATGAATAAGCTCTTCTTCTTTCCTCTCCTTCTCTCCTCTGCTCTCATTCTCTCCTCTACTCTCCATCTCTCCTCTGCTCTCATTCTCTCCTCTACTCTCCTTCTCTCCTCTCCTTCTCTCCTCTCCTCCTCTCCTCTGCTCTCCTTCTCTCCTCTTCTCTCCTTCTGTCTTCACAGCTATTAAGCCTTATTTGAAGCAGCTTCTACACTCATAGTGATAGTTGTTGCCAACTGGTCTGTAGTATTCTCCTCCATTGAAGACGTGCACATATATCCCATTGACAGTCTCTTTTCTTAAGTTATCATTGGACCTACAGGGAGACAGTTCTTTGCCACACTTGCAGCACCTCAGGGTGTTGCCCATGTCACTTTCCCTTGGTACCTCGTTTCCCATTTTATAAAACTTTATAGATGGCTCAAGATAAAAATGCTATGCAGACTCAAGCTGTCCTGCAAGGAAAGAAAAGATATTCACATTTGAAAAAGGAAACAACGTTATTTCACATTTGATTAAATCAATAAATTAGTTGGCTAAAATAAATAACAGGATTGTGAACTCAGATATACAGTGCCTTGCAAAAGTTTTCATACTCAGTCCCATATACTTATTTTCTCATAAGACTTTGATCTTTTATAACAAGGACCTTTGATTCTGTATGAATAGTTTTATTATTTCTATATTCTATCCATTTAACTAAGACTGAGATATTGAGGTAACTTGGTACTTATTCTAAGATTGCTGGACAGCATTTGCAGACTTGCTTTTTCAGTGGCAGTTTTACACATATCCAGCATTTAGCTTTAAAATAAATTACAAACAGAATCTTCTCACATCCTGTCTGAGGAAAATCACTGTTTAGACTTCAGGATGCCCTGTTCTAAAAGGGACAAATTTGCACATTTATTCAGCCTTTACTTTCTACTGAACTCAACAAAGTAACCATCTTTGGACACCACATAGTTGTCAAATGATTTTGTTTTGGTCATTTACATCGATGTTTGTGTGTTTATGTATAAATTAAAGTTTTACTTTTAATTGAATTCTATTCCATTTTGAGAACTTTGGTGTTCAACAAGTTTCTGTGAAAACAGACAAATGCAATCATATATTATTGAAATGTGTTACTTTTGACATTGTGACAAACAACAGTCTTTTGGGACATTTGGGACAACTGCAAACCTACCACATGGTAATTTACCAAAACTGACAGGCTGGGAAACAAGAACAGCAGAGAATAAGAAGAGATCCCTCATGAGTTGGGGATCTCTGCATCTCCTCCACGGTTAGTTCTGCAGTCTACAAGCCTGTCCTAAAGTGGAAAAATTCTTAAAATGTTGAAGAAAAAGTCAATTTAATATTTAGTTCTTTTAAGAAAGGTGTGTCTTAACACTAGTCTGACTAAAAAAAGTGTTTCCTTAGTTTCTTGATGCTGATATTAATCTGAAACATTGAGAAATATGATTATTAATAGACTCTGCTATATAAGAGATTTTAAATGTGCAACCCATATTCGCTCATTTTTTATATCAATTTGACAGTTGCTCCTAGTCACTAATTTCCTCATCTTTTTAGCATGTTCTCTCATAAACACTCTTTTTTTCTCTTGCTCCATGTGAACAAAAGACAATGTTTCAGAGTGACTCTAGTGCAACAGAAACAATGCTGTTTAAAGATACTCTCTATCTAACCTAAAGAAAGGAAAATAACAAAAAATGTAACTCTAGATCTGAAAAACCTGTAGCCACATGCCTGACAACACTTAAAATAAATTATTTTATAAATTCATTAGTCATTCTATAAAGCATTAATACAGGGAGGCAGAATGAAAATGGATGGAAAACATTTAAGAAGTTTATTAAGTTAGTTTATCTTCTTCATAAATATTCACTACTTCATGTTAATTTGTCACACCAAATCTCAGTAAAGAGACATAGATACAGTACTTGTTTTTGCAAGGCAGAGTAGTCTAGAGTATCACAGTCCTGTACTAATACCAATGCTAACTTGCATTATCTTAAATGATTTAAAGCTAGTATTGAAATTATTTGTCATTCATGCTTTGCTGGTTTGCCAGGAATAATATATCAAGCAAAAACAAGTTTCTCCACTATTGTAAAAACTTTACCATGTTTGTAAAATAATGACATCAACATAAAAAGTGTTTCTCACGACTGTCTGTACTGTGAATATGACAAACATAAAAAACCTCATCTAGCCAAACAAAAATGCAAGCAGCTTCTTATTTCTATCACTGGAACCCTTTTAAAATTATTATTAACATGTTAATTTTACCTGCTTTCGTTCTGTAGTTTACAAGATCAAATGATGTAGTGGCCACTTGGAGTAATAGGGACTTCACAACTGGTGCAGTTTAATCTGGTCTCTTCTTTTCATAGACACTGTGAAGACTGTAGCATAAAATGAAATGATATGGCATTGTTGGACATATTTAACAAAATTATTTCCAAGGCTTAATCATTAAGAAATACAAATTAATAACCTTGAGAGGCTTTTAAACCAAGTATACAACAAAATACTGTGTCTTGTGTTTACCACATATAAAATAAAACATGTTAAGGTTAAACAAATACAACAACAATGTTCTACTGCTTCTTAAATAAACAAGTAACATTTCTTACCACAAATAACAATTGCGCAGAATTATTCCGAATTCTTCTTTCCAAGGCTGTTATTTTAAAGCTTTGCTTCTGGTTCCTTCAGGATCTTGCGCTGTCTAATTGTGGTTGGTAAGAGCAGGAGGTGCAATATATAGCACAGCTAGAGGTGGAGACTCAAGTCACATGACTTGAACTCAGTCAGACTCGAGTCATTAATATTAAGACTTTAGACTTGACTTGAAAAAGTGTTCAGAAACTTGGACTTGACTTTTACACCAATAACTTGGGATTTGAATTGGACTTGAGCCTGTTTACTTGAAAAGACTTGATATTTTATTCAAAGTTATTTATCAAGTGGGCCCCATTAATTCATTTTACTCATTCCGTATTAACAGACACAGACCCTCCCTCTATTTTTCAACACCAATAAAATTAATAACATAAAAAAAATAAAGACGGATAAAAAGTAGTTATAAGCGAGTATTTTCCTTTGGGTGCATCAGTTACAAAATGTATCTAGTACCAGGGTTAAGGACACGTCAGCAGCAGATGAAGCTGAAAAACAGCATGTAAATGATCACACAGGAGACACAGTCTGTGTTACTCCAATTTCTCTCAGCTTACTTATTGAACAAACCAGCTCATTTAACTGTCAATACAGCCCAATTTGTAGTTCAGTAACTTACTGTATATATAATCTATGTAGATTTATTCCATCATAAACATAAATATCTGCATTAGCTTTTCTTAAACCAGAAATAATCCCATCAACATCATATTTTTGTCACAATTCCATCAGGTAACGTATTGTAACCTTATATGCATATTTAATCACACACAGTGACATATTTTATGGTATTTTATGATAACACAACTAATCTAATTGCATTACTAAATCAGAATACCACAAAGTCTTTATTATTTATTATTAATTCTGGCACAGTTATACATTCCCTCACAAAAGAACATACCTTTTCATTTTCTTAAGGAAGTAGAGCTAATTAAATGACATAAACAAGAACTGAAAGTGGTTCCAGTTTTACTTGATGGCCAACCTGTCAAAAGTGTTGCAAATCTTAAATTCCTTGTTTCATTCCTGGACAGTCAGCTCAACTTTGCTGAAAACACTGACTATATCTTTAAGACCTGTTCTCAGAGACTCTGTACACAACTAGAGGTTGTTGAGTTAAAATGTTAAAACTTAACATTCAAACTTGAGTTTTAACTTATCTCAAGTTAAAACAACATTTTAACTCAAGTTTTAACTTGTCATCTCAGGTTTTTTGGTCACATGAGCTGCAGACTAAGACAATCTTTTAAGAATACTTTGAATGGCAGGTATGACTCAGGTAAATAGCAGTGAAACCAAAAACAACTCTGTCTCAACTGTTTGCTGAAAGAACATGAAAGACGGCAAGAAATATTTTAGCAGAGAGCATCCATCCTCTTTATTCATCAGTTTGAACCTCTGAGCTCATGAAGGTGTTACTGTGTTCCTTTGGCAACTCAGAACATCTATTAGAAGTCATTATTGACAGTGAAATAATTATTCTTAACCAAACTAAATAACATTTTTAGCATCAGGGTGCAATAGCAACAGCTAATTCGCAGCACTTGTCCCTAGTTGGGCTTTTTAAAAAATAACTCTAAAAATTGAAGTGATAATCATTTAAAACAGCACAACATAATGTATACAAACAGAGAAATGTAAAACATCAAAAATGGGTACAGGTCTGTTTTTGACATAACCAGAGTTTTGTTTGATTTTTGAACGTACTGAAACTGGTTACAGACTTTAAATCAACAGGAAGTGGGTTCCAAACTGCAGATCCTCTCACAGACAGAGCGCTTTGAGCAAAAGTGGTTCTTCTAAAGGGGACCTTACAATTTCCATCTAAAGCCGCTCTGGTAGATCTGCTATTGCCCTGCAGTCTCTGTATACAATCACTTAATGGTGTAGGTGCAAGTCCATTTAAACACTTAAAAATCAATTTTAATACATTATAATTTAGAAAATTTGTAAAATCCAAAATGCCAAATTTAACCAAAATGTGACAGTGATGGAATCTAATCGGCTTTTGATATACAACCTTTAAGGCCCGATTATAGAGACTTGCTAATGGTTTGAGTATAGTTTGATTAGTCTGAGACCAGACAGTAGCTCTGTAGGTAAAATGTGAGAGGATCAGTGAATTTAAAAATATCTCTGCACAGTGAAGTGTCAAACAATGTCTAATAATTTTAAAACAATTTATATTCGATCTAACAGTTTTGCAGATTGTATCAACATGGCTCCTAAATTTTAACTGAGCATAACTGTACTGTTTAAAAGCTTCCTTGTACTTTTTGGTTTCACTATCAGCCTTAGTGAGAATCTTAAAAATGCTGTTATGGTCTTTTGAATAAACACAATGACAAAATGCATTTTGCTGTTCATGGTTGTTCTTGGTTGAATCAGTGCCTCATCTTAAACAGGCCGCTATTTTAAACCTTTGCTTCTGGTTCCTTTAGGATCTGCTGTCTAATTGTGCTTGGTGAGAACATGAAGTGTAGAGTATCACAAAGGTGGAGAATCGATTCACATGACTTGAACTAAGTCAGACTCGAGTCATTAATATTAAGACTTCAGACTTTACTCGAGTATTTACTTTTGACATTGTGACAAACAGCAGTCTTTTGAGTTCATCGTATAAAAGTAGAGTTTGGGACAACAGAAAACCTACCACATGGTAATTTACCAAAACTGGCAGGGTAGGAAATAAGAACAGCAGAGAATAAGAAGAACATGTACTCTGTTACTTGCATTTTTCCAAGGCAGAGTAGAGCTTCATAGTCTTGCAAAATGCTAATTTGCATTTTCTTAAATTAATTAAAGGTAGAATTGAAATGATTATACTCTATTGGTTTGCTAGGAAGAATATATCAAGCAAAAACAAATTTCTCCACTATTGTAAAAACTTTACCATGTTTGTAAATCATGACATCCACATAAAAAGTGTTTCTCACGACTGTCTGTACTGTGAATATGACAAACATAAAAAATCTCATCTAGCCAAACAAAAATGCAAGCAGCTTCTTATTTCTTTCACTGGAACCCTTTTAAAATTATTATTAACATGTTAATTTTACCTGCTTTCGTTCTGTAGTTTACAACATCAAATGATGTAGTGATCACTTGGAGTAATAGGGACTTCACAACTGGTGCAGTTTAATCTGGTCTCTTCTTTTCATAGACACCGTGAAGACTGTAGCATAAAATGAAACGATATAGCTTTGTTGGACATGTTTAACAAAATAATTTCCAAGGCTTAATCGTTAAGAAATACAAATTAATATCCTTGAGAGCCTTTTAAACCGAGTATGTGTCCCGTGTTTCACTATAAAACATGTTAAGGTTAAGCAAATACACCAACAATGTACTACTGCTTCTTAAATAAACAAGTAACATTTCTTATCACAAATCACCACTGCTCATATTTATATCTCATTCTTCTTTCCAAGGCCACTATTTTAAACCTCTACTTCTGGTTCCTTCAGGATCTTGCGCTGTCTAATTGTGCTAAGAACAGGAGGTGTAGCATGTCACACAGCTAGAGGTTGAGACTCGAGTCACATGACTTGGACTAAGTCAGACTCGAGTCATTAATATTAAGACTTTAGACTTGACTTGAAAAAATGTTCAGAGACTTGGACTTTACTTTGACTTTCACACCAATGACTTGGGATTTGAATTGGACCTGAGCCTGTTTACTTGAAAAGACATAATATTTTATTCAGTTATTTTTCAAGTGGTCCCCATTAATTCATTTTACCACCTTACCGTGCCAAGACAGCTCTTCAATCAAAAACTTGTCACTGATGAAAGGAGGCACATTTGACAATGTTACTTTGGTTGCCGGTAGCGTGAGCCGTTCACTGAAACGCCAGACTCCTCCAACTGTTGGGCTTGCTCCACTTTCTCTACAAACCAAACCACAGCTCCACTCATTGGAGCTGCTGATTTAATCAACTCATGTTTGATCACCTCACCTACAGCCAAACAAACTTCCTCCACGCTGCACAGAGAACCAGCACCACCTTGATGCCGTTCTTCTGTGTCAGCATGGAGAAAGACCAAGCCATATGACGCCTGCCTGCCAGGCACGCCTCACGGCCACACCTGAACCCAACAAAAAACCCTTAAAACATGACAAACTAACACAAAATCACAACTAAACAAGTAACATAAACACCCAGTGAAAAACAGTAAGAAAAACAGCCAAAGATATAAAATATTCAAACACTCTCTCACTCGCTCTTCTTCCACTCTTCCACTCACCCTCCTCTCACACGAAGAAGACGACGACCAAGGAACACACCAGGCAGGTCTGAGTATTGTTGTGGAGAAGTTTAAAGCCAGATTTGGATACAAAAAGATTTCCCAATCAGCAGTATTCGTGTGTGTGTATTTGTTCCTTTAAGAAACTTATTTTTGTTTGTGTTTTTAAATCTTTTTTCAGTTGCAGTTTGAAGATTAAGTGCTGATTTATTTTTGCCTACTTATGTTTTACTGAAGGTTTTTGTTACACTCATTTTTGCTTTTGATTCTGTTTAAAGTTTTCCTTCCTGTTGTGTTCATTTCATTACCAAGGAAATAAATAGTTAAATACATTCAGGAACTGTGGTGGAAGACTGGGACATGAGCTTTGAGCTTTAAGGTGTGACAACGTTGTACTGTGGATTCACTGAATGAGGAACTCTGTAGAGTTATTTGGGAACTATGTGCAAAACTATTTGCTAATTGAAATGAGGAAATTAAACTTGACAGGTTTGAGATTTGTTTCTTACACCTGTTTCTGTGAAACTTGTTTGATAGACTTGAATCTTGAACTTTTTTCTTACTTGTTCTGCAGGCGGGACATTTATAACTGTACTGTTTAAAAGCTTCCTTGTACTTTTTGGTTTCACTATCAGCCTTAGTGAGAATCTTTAAAATGTTGTTATGGTCTTTTGAATAAACATAATGACAAAACGCATTTTGTTGTTCATGGTTGTTCTTGATTGACTCAGTGCCTCATCTTATATAGGATTATTTATGTTCATAACAATGTTCAGAAAAGGGAATTTGTCATGTCTTCAGCCTTTAAGTATACACAGTTTTAATTTTTAAATAAGTAAACCAATTTTCACACTCTGTCCTATAGACGTATTTTCTTGTGAGACTTTGATATTTTATAACAAGGATCTTTGGTTGTGTATTGTTTTGTTACTTCTATAAAGAGTGGGATATTAAGAAAACTTGATACTTATTCTAAGATTGCTGGACAACATTTGCAGACTTGCTTTTTTAGTAGCAGTTTTATACATATCCAGTGTTTGACTTTAAAACAATTACAGAGAATCTTCTCACATCCTGTCTGAGGAAGATCACTGGATCTTCCTCAGACCCTGACTTCAGGGTGCCCTGTTCTAAAAGGGAAAAATTTGCACATTTATTGAGCAAAGTAACCATCTTTGGACCCTAAATGGTTGTCAAATGATTTTGTTTTGGTCATATATATGGATGTATGTGTGTTTATGTATAAATTCATTTTTTACTTTTGATTGAATTCTATTCCATTTTGAGAACAAGTTTCTGTGCGAACAGACAATAAAGTGCAATCATATATTATTGAAATGTATTATTTTTGACATTGTGACAAACAGCAGTCTTTTGAGTTCATCGTATGAAAGTGGAAAGAGCTTGGGACAAATGCAAACCTACCACATGGTAATTTACCAAAACTGGCAGGTTGGGAAATAAGAACAGCAGAGAATAAGAAGAACATGTACTCTGTTACTTGCATTTTTGCAAGGCAGAGTAGAGATTCATAGTCCTGCAAAATGCTAATTTGCATTTTCTTAAATTATTGAAAGGTAGAATTGAAATGATTATACTCTATTGGTTTGCCAGGAATAATATATCAAGCAAAAACAAATTTCTCCACTATTGTAAAAACTTTACCATGTTTGTAAAATAATGACATCAACATAAAAAGTGTTTCTCACAACTGTCTGTACTGTGAATATGACAAACATAAAAAACCTCATCTAGCCAAACAAAAATGCAAGCAGCTTCTTATTTATTTCACTGGAACCCTTTTTCAATTATTAACATGTTAATTTTACATACTTTCATTCTGTAGTTTACAACATCAAATGATGTAGTGGCCACTTGGAGTAATAGGGACTTCAAAACTGGTGCAGTTTAATCTGGTCTCTTCTCTTCATGGACACCGTGAAGACTGGGGCATAAAATGAAATGATATAGCATTGTTGGACACTCATTTTTGCTTTTGATTCTGTTTAAAGTTTTCCTTCCTGTTGTGTTCATTTAATCACCAAGGAAATAAATAATTAAAAACATTCAGGAACTGTGGTGGAGGACTGGGACATGAGCTTTGAGCTTTAAGGTGTGACAACGTTGTACTGTGTATTCACTTTGAATGAGGAACTCTGTAGAGTTATTTGGGAACTATGTGCAAAACTATCTGCTAATTGAAATGAGGAAATGAAACTTGATAGGTGTGAGATTTGTTTCTTGGACTTGTTTCTTACCGATTCTGCGGGCGGAGGATTTACAACTGTACTGTTTAAAAGCTTCCTTGTATTTTTTGGTTTCACTCTCAGCCTTAGTGAGAATCTTTAAAATGCTCTTATGGTCTTTTGAATAAACACAATGACAAAATGCATTTTGCTGTTCATGGTTGTTCTTGGTTGACTCAGTGCCTCATCTTATATATAGGATTATTTATGTTCATAACAATGTTCACAAAGGAATTTTGACATGTCTTCAACATTGAAGACATAAGGCTGGTTGTATTTTATTTAAAAATAAAATTGGTTTATGTTTAAACAAACAAAAAAAAAACAATTTTCACACTCTGTCCTATAGACATATTTTCTTGTGAGACTTTGATCTTTTATAACAAGGATCTTTGGTTGTGTATTGTTTTGTTACTTCTATAAAGAGTGGGATATTAAGAAAACTTGATACTTATTCTAAGATTGCTGGACAGTGTTTGACTTTAAACAAATTACAACAGAATCTTCTCACATCCTGTCTGAGGAAAGTCACTGTTTAGACTTCAGGGTGCCCTGTTCTAAAAGGGAATAATTCACACATTTATTGAGCAAAGTAGCCATCTTTGGACACTAAATGGTTGTCAAATGACTTTGTTTTTATATATATATATATATATATATATATATATATATATATATATATATATATATATATATATATATATATATATATATAGATGTATGTGTTTATGTATAAAGTCAAATTTACTTTTGATTGAATTCTATTCCATTTTGAGAACAAGTTTATGTGCGAACAGACAATAAAGTGCAATCATATATTATTGAAATGTGTTACTTTTGAATTTGTGACAAACAGCAGTCTTTTGAGCCCATTGTAGGAAGGGGAAAGAGTTTTGGACAACTGCAAACCTACCATATGGTAATTTACCACAACTGGCAGGCTGGGAAATAAGAACAGCAGAGAATAAGAAGAACATGTACTCTGTTACTTGCATTTTTGCAAGGCAGAGTAGAGCTTCATAGTCCTGCAAAATGCTAATTTGCATTTTCTTAAATTATTGAAAGGAATAATATATCAAGCAAAAAAAAGTTGATGTTCCTGATTAGCTTCAGTTTGCTGTTTTACTTCGACAAATCTATAATCTACCATAGAAGTGATGCAGAAAATTATCATGTAATCCCATAATTTCACATCAACCATTTCCTAATTTAAATTAAGACATATTTTTTTCAAATGAAGTTGAACATTAGCAGTAGAGAAGACAGCTGTGAAGAAAATAGCTTTCAATTTTGACATTTCCTTTAGAAAAGAGGTAATTACCGGTAATATAAATGAATACCAAATGATTGAAATGAACCTGATTGTTCGCTGGTCCAACAGTGACACCTTGTGTTCATTTGTGGTTTAATTTCGAAGAGCGGTATATTTCTTCGTGTTTTTTGTTGCATGGTGCACTTCCTGTTTTTACAAGGCACATTGAGAAGCAAGAGACACTGGAAATAACAGAAGGAAATCTTGAAAATGGCGCATTTGGAAAGCAGAATAAGGTATAAATTTGCACAGTTTTGTTTTGTAATAAGAAAGGTAATTTGTTTATTTAAGAAGAGACTTAATGTCGTTGGGCCAACTGCATATGCTTGGTTAAAGTATTCTTTATGTGAACTTTTACCTGTTTAATTTTAATTAAATAAACTTGTGATATATTGCTCAGTTTTATATTATTTTAAAAGGCTTTTAATGAACATTTTATTTCACCGTGATTAAGCTATGAAAATTATTTTAATGGAGAGAGATGGCCAGTTTCAAGGATAAAACCGTTATTATGCCACACCATCCAGTCAGAAATTAACATGGAAAAGATAATATCAAACCTGAATACAAATTCATTTTAGATCTTGTTTCTATAATCCACCAAGATGCAAACAACCTCCCTTGTTTTTCCAAGATTACTGTCATCAATTCAAGGAAAACATTGAACATCTTTATCACTTGATCATAAACATAAAAAGATGCAGAAAGAAAAAGGTTTTAATAAAATATGTGAAACTCCCAGTAAGTCATTTTTAAATGTTGGCTTTATAAGCAATTTATGTGAGGTTCACATGTGACTTTATCATGCTAGGTAAGATACACAAGTCTTGGCTTCTTTCGTGGAGCCTTTTTAATCCTTTTATCAATATTAATTTTTTAATAAATGTGTAAATTACGGTCCACAAAGAGTAATATTCATAACTATTATTTAGTTTATCCTAAATGTACTAAAGGTTTTCTTAAATTGAGTAAAAGCAAGTTTTAAAATTTCATAATGAAACAATGAAAATATATTTCCATTATAGTACCAGACTGAAATATAATCAGTGATTTAATGTTATTACCGTCACCATAAACAAAACACCTAAAACATTCTGTAAAGTGGCCAAAAAATAAATCTGAATATTTGAAGCAGATGTTTAGACAAAAAAGAAACAAAATGGATTATTGGAAGGGTATTGAAACTTTAGCATATTAGACATGGAAAACCCGCTGCCACCAACTAGTTAATTTGACACCCCAAAAATAAGTAAGAAATTTACCAAAAGCCCCACATGACTAAAAACTTTACTAAAATGTAATAAAACACAAAAAAGCTACACATGTTGCATAGGTAAAACATATTGTAGTCTCTAACATAACTTTTTTCCCCAGTGACTGTATGATTTTTATCATTAGAAAACATATAGAATCAAGCAAGAAATTTTAATTTTTACCATTTTCAAGATTATAATCAGCAATGGCCACTTGAATTTACCTAAATTTTGTAACTGTTGTTTATAGTCAAGACTTACAACAAAGAATCTATTCATTCCTGTATTTTGAATGTGATTTGAATGTAAAATATTTCAGGAAAGAATTACTTTATCTCAACATCATGTCTCCTTTTTTTTTTTGCCATTTTCACAATCAGATTTTGTTAAAATTCAATAGTTGCTAAAATCCAATTGTATAAAGTCATAACAAAATAAAACAATGAAAGTGAGAATATTTTGAGGAGTAAAATCAAATGAATTTTTACTTTTTACTCCATGGAAACAAATCTCTAGTGGGCAAAAAGGAAATTTCACAATTAACTTCTGAAAATGTCCAAAAGTAAATTATTCAGCTCAAGTAATATTACAGCCAAATTGTTTTGCTTTTCTTAATCTAACTTCCTAAGAGAGAAACTAAGAGAAACTTGACAGAATGTCAAAAATAGATAAAAACTGTACTATTGTTTAAATCAGACAAAAGGGACATCTGCAACAGACCTGAATTAAAAATAACCCAAATTTGTCTGTAGAATTTGTTTGACAGTATAATATTGTCACTAATTGAAGTCTCTCTTTGATGATCAGGCAGGTGGAAGTGATGAGTAGTTTTGATTCTCGTTAACCAGCATCATCCAGAGTTTCACTATGAGGAAAAAAACACACTTAGGTCAGTAATGTGGCATATGAAATAAATAGGTAACTAGATAAATAACACTAGTGAAATTGTTTGTTTCTCAGACTGTGCCACTTTGCTGAGGAGCTCTTTATTTCACATGGATATATTGTCTTACTATGCATATAATTGTTTATTAGTCTGAATGTTGTATTTCATAAAACTCAAAAGAAGTTTCTGGTTGTGTTTATTTCATATCCACTTTCACTTTAAGATGGAAATTTTGAGACTGTGGCCATCTCTCCCAGGATGAAGGTCTCAAGTAAAGAGAGATTATATCCATTTTATTAATGGTTACGCTCTTCCTTGTAGCTTTTGAAACAACACATTTACACATTTCCTCTGGTATGTTGTGTGCCTTCACATACTCTATGAAGCATTGTGGTTGATTCCAGAGCCAATTTTTGGTGCCATTTAAGCCCTGCTGGTGTAAGAAAATACAGTGAACAATATTCATAATTGTACTTTTACTTCTTATCACAATAGTGAACTATTTAGCAGTTCACTGAGGTTAGGATTGGTTTTGCTTCTCAAGTTGAACTTTCTGACATTGACAGTGTTAAAACAGTCAGGGATTTTAACTATATTACATCTTAACAGTTCTCAAAATATACAAATTAAACTATACCACAGACTCAGCAAAAACAGCCATCCAGCAAAAATGTTACTACATCATAAATTTAAGTGATTATTTATTTAAAGAAAACACAAAAAGAAGGTTTTTGTGTTTTCTTTCACTTGATACATGGAGCAATAACAACATATATGTTTTATTTTGAAATGTATTTTTATGTTTGTTGACCAGGGAAATTTAATGAGTTTTCTATAAGTTTATTTCAAATGGAGTTTCACAAAATATCATTGCAGCAATGTAGAAGAATAATGTAAATACTAAAGAGATTAACAGTAAATGTTTTACAATAAAGTTTGTTTCTTTTCCTCCCACAGTATAAAAAAAACATGAAAATTAGATTAATTCAGAATTATAAATGTCTCTTACTCTAAATTTCTAGTTTACTCTTTTTTTGTGAGCAAATGTTTGAAAGAACATAAAGAAATATTAAAATATTCTTACCTCTTCATGACAGGACGCTGGACACCTGTTTCCTGTGTGGATCATTTCTGTCCTTGTAGCCCTGGGTGTTGATCCATTGTATGATTGTTGTTTGATGGTCATTTGTCATGACACCCTTGTCTTGAAGCAGGCTGTACCATTTCTGCACCATCTGGGTGCTGTTTTCTTGAAAACTCTTCTCAAACATGGCAACCCGGGTTTTGCTCTTCTTCTTGTTTTGAACATTCTTGGTGTCAGTCAGCTGGCATCTGAGCATTGCACTGAACGTCATCAGTTTAAAGGTTCCAACAACATCATCTTTGCTTATCATGGAAGCTAAGCATGATTTTAAAGCTTTTGGCTCTGGAGAAGATATATCCTCAACTACATCTTTAAGGTTGCGATCAGTTGGCAGCTTCAGGCCTTCTTGTTTCTCCACACCAGAGGTTTTGCTGGTATCTGAGCCAGACAGATATTTTCTCGCTTGCAACATTGCCACTGCCAATTTGCTCTTCTGGTTCAGTTTGTTAGCTTCCACTATGGTACTGTTTGAAGGCTGCTGATTTGCATTGACAGTTTTTTCTACTGCTGGAATTGCTGGTTTTTTCAAATATCCTTTGTATTGTTCAATCTTTCCAGTTATTTTCTGCAGCAGGGTTTTGTTTTCCTTTATAATTCTTTCTGGTCTACCGGCCTCTGCCATGTACCAGTCTCCTCCTCTGATTGTTTCCGTCAACTCTTTGCGCTTCATAAAAGGTTCCCATTGCCCTGATTGTTTGAGGAGCATATTGGCCTCCACAGATCTCAGGCGGTTTGCCTCAGAAGCAATCTCTGAATCACTGGCTTTTGGTTTCATGCCTCTTGCCATAGCATGGAACAGAGAACTCTGTTGTTTACTGTCTATGCTCACTGCCTTATTGTCGATGAACACATCATAATGACCATTAGGGTTTTGGGTGCTTTTTGGCCTGTAGATCAAAGTCACTGTTTCACTAGCAGATTTGGTACTTGGACTAACTTCCTGCATTTTGGTGAGTTTTCCTTGTTTGTTTTCTGAAAGAATAACAACTCTGGTACCAGTGGCTTCAGACAGGACTCTGATATCTAGAATAGTACCAGCAGCTTTGTTGTCCTTGATCTTTTCAGCATGTGATCTTGCGAGTCGACCAGCATTAGCTGAAAGTTTGGCATTTGGATTTACTGGCATATTTACTATGTAGTTGTTGAGTTGTCCAGCTTTAAGCTTTTCCTCTGTCCTCTCACTCTTTAAGCCAGATTTGACAT